AAAAAAAAAAAAATAAATAAATAAATAAATAAAAATCATCTCTAAATATCTTCATTAAAATTTCCCCTTAGATTTAATATCCATTGATACTTACATCACTTGCATTGCGTTTAATGCTTTTGTATGTTCTCAAAAAGGGGAAAACTTGTTTATTTGTAACTTCTTTTTCACCCGTGAGTTTCTGTTTTGGAGTTGTGATCTTGGATTCACTTGAGAAATGTTAGAACTTTCTCAGAGTTCTTGAGGACATCCTAGTGGTTGTAATAATGATCATTGTTTTGGTAAGAATTAATTGAACTATTGAAGCTTTAAAAATAAATCACTCCATGCTTGTTTTAGCTGCAACTTTTTTTTCTTAGTAATTTTTTTTTCTTTCTTTTTTTTTTTTTTTCCTGCAGTTTTTGGCGGGGGCTGGGTTTGAACCCACCGCCTCCAGCATATGGGTCCAGCACCCTACTCCTTGAGCCACAGGCCCTGCCCTTGCCAAATAATTTTTAAAAGGAATTATTTGTGATAATATTTCACCTGTCTTAAACAAGGTTGACCGTCTTCTAGTAGCAATCTTTATATAATTATACTAATAAATGATGTAATTGCCGTAGATAAGGTATGTTTAGATTGTATATTCTCATGGTTTTAGAAGCCCATCCATTTTATTTTTCTCCTACCGAAAATATAGTCTGGTGGTAGGGAGCTAGGAGTGTAAATACACTCTTTGGGTGGCATTAGCAGCATCAAACAAGGATTCTTAAATAGGAATTAGATGATGAAGCACCCCAAATTGGAAAATTTTGTACATTTTTGGGAAAAAGATGCAGATCTGTCTTCTAACTGTAGAGGTTTCTGACTATCAAAATATTGAGAACTAATAAAAATAAGTAAATATGATTTTTTTTGCCAGTACCCCCCAAAACACTGATATCACAGCAGAAACCCCAAATTGACTGGCAAATTCATCTTGCATGTTTATGTCAAGTGCACTCTGTGTGTGTAAGTCCTGTGAGACTATGGGGTATTCTAGGAAATCTGAATTTCCTGACCTTAGCATATTTACAGAAACTCTACTCTTGGCAGACGTGGAGTTGCTGTACTGTAGTTACTTGCAAAGGTTTCTTTGTGGTCACTGATTCTGAAATTAAAAGTGATTTTTGAATCATTGGTGATTAAGTGCATTTTTTTTTTCTTATAGAATTTACCATCTGCCTTAGTGAGTCATGTCCTGAATCCTCAGCCTGGAGAGATGATCCTGGACTTGTGTGCAGCACCCGGAGGCAAAACAACACACATTGCAGCACTAATGCAGGACCAGGTGAGACGGTCGTCACAGCAGAACCACGCTCTAAGTGTTAACATAGTTCCCTAGTGAAGGTGATGGCAGCACTAATGCAGGACCAGGTGAGACGGTCGTCACAGCAGAACCATGCTCTAAGTGTCACAGACTTTAGTAGTGAAGGTGGAACTACATGTAACTTAGGAAACATGTAGCTATCCATAATCTAATTTATTTCAGATTAGGCCAAAGTAAAGATTATTCAGTTGTCAATAGACAGTGTAACTTAGGAACACCAAATCAAGACCTTTTTTAATTCCCTAGTTTTTAAATAAAATTATAGAACAGAACTCTTCCTCATGAAATTAAGTTGAACTGAAACATGTAAGAGTTTTTTTTATGTTTAATCATAAAATTTTATGATTTACTAAAATTAATTCTGCCACTAAAAATTAACTTGACAGTGTGTTATCAAAATGTGAAAAATATTCGTATGTTGACATGCATTCACACAGATACATAAACAGATGAGGACTTACATATCTGCATAGAACATACTTGTGTGTTTGTGTTTGTCTTGAGGGTTGTATAAACCTCACCATCTGGCTTAATTATAACCTTGAATTGTCCCAAAATAGGACTAAGTTTGTCCTTGGACAACTTCAGCTCAGGTTTCACTGCTTTTTGTATGGATGTTTTCCTTTCTTATGGGCTGGTTTTGTTGTGCCCAAGTTGCAGGATCCCCCACAAATCACTCCAAGACCGAATCCGATGCAAAAGCAAGAGGTTGTTTATTGACAAGCTCGAGCCAGGGCTTCCTGATCCTGTCCTAGCAGGAGAGCAGAGAAGCCCCAACTCACAAATGGAGGGAGGTTTTAAAGGGGACAGCAAGAAAGAAGGGAGGGGTAGGTTACTGGGGAGAGTTCATAGGGGCTTGGGTGGTAGAGTGGCACTTGTCTGAAGCTGATTGGTCTGGGTGTGGGTTGCTCTCGCTGGGGGCAAATGTTGTGCAAGGGTACGGATCTTGGGGCCAGTGCGGGGGTGAGGGAGGAAGTTAACGGTTCTGGTGTGCAGCTGCGAGAGAAAAACAACTAGGCAGCAAAAGTAAAATTTAAACAAAATGGAGTCAGTTTGGTCCTCACAGTTTTATCTGTGTGTGAAACTCCTCGTGGCCTTGGAACCATTATGTTCCTCAACTGAGATTCTTCCACTCTAGAAGGATATGGCCAGTTGGCATCATCTTTCCTGTTGGTTTCGAATTCTGTAGAACTAGGTGGTTTCTAAAGTCCTTATACGTGCCAGTGTCTTTGTCTATAATAAACTCCTTAATCTGGGGTCAGATTTGAGTCAATTGATTGAAAAACTAGTTAGTGTGTGCCAGGAATGCAGCATTGAACCATAGTGGCCAGTATTTTACTCTTCATAAAGCTTATACGTGGGTCACTACAAAAGTTTTGAGACAGACTATGTTATGGTCCAGTATTTCACTTCTAAGCAACACGGTCACCAGTGTCCTTTCTGATTCACCCGTGCAGGTTTCACCTTGGCTCGCTTATTGATGTTACTGGGAAGGTTTCATCTGTTTCCATCTGCGTAGATTTTGTGTTTCTTGATTTTTGTGTATCTCAAAGCTTTTGTAATGACCCATATAATTTTAGTAACAGGAGACATATAATGCATAAAAGATACGACATTAATGATTTTGGTAAAGGCTATAGCAATAAGTAAAGAAGGATTGAGGAATAGGGACTACTGAGGGGAGGGGGATGTAATTGCAGTTTTAAATGAGGCAGTGAGAAAGGTCCGCACTGTGAAGGTATCACAGCATCTGAGGACAGACTTGAAGGTAATGAGCAGCACAGATGTGTCTGGAAAGAATGTTCTAGCTAGAGGAAACAGTAAATGCCTGGAGGTGGGAGGGGCCCTGCCTTGTTTGAGGACTGTCAGTAGTTTTGATGAAGTAGGGAAGGGGGAGAGTAGGAGGAGGAAAAGAGGTGAGAAAGGTTGTGCTGATGAGGGCATTTGGGCAGATCAGCTTTGTAGGGCTTGATGGGATTTTGGTTTGTCTTTTTTTTTTTTTTTTTTAATTTCAGCCTCCTTTGAATATTTACAGAACATCAACTATAGGCAAAACATTGACATAATCATTGAAGATAACATTAGGACAAATATATCAATTTTATGAGGAAACAAAAGCATTATCTACAAATCAATTATGAGATAAGTGTACTCATTACCACCACTCCTAGTAAAGTTGAAGAGCCTAGCTAGTACAGTTATGATAACTTAAAAGTCTCAATGGTTTGTAAAAAAAAAAAAAAAAAAATACAAATTTCATTACTTCCGATTTACCAAGTTACTTGCAAGTTACCAAAAACAATAGAAAAATTCAGCAATGTAGCTAACTTCAAAATAACTATACAAAATTAATTATATTCCTATATAAAAAAGAATTACAAAATAATATTAGAAAAAGAAAGCATTGTATCAGCAACCAAAATAAAAAAGTATCTATCAATATAGCTTTAACAAGAGCTGTGCAATTTTTTTTCAATACATAATCATTTACTACTTGTTTGTTACAGAATACACAAGACAAAATACAAATAGCAAACAAATTTTTTTCCTTATTGTCTTTTTACCAAAATCTAAAAAAAAATAGATAACTAATATATATAAATACAAGTAAAATATAATTTAAAAAAAAAAAAA